GAAACTAGGTATATCATCTTTATTTTTTTTATAAGCTCGAAACAATTCACTCTTGGACATGGGTATCTACTGTTGAAGAGAGGATAGGATTTTCTTTAATCGCAATGTTCAGCAGATCATTGATTATCGCAGTACGCCGCCTACGTAGCATAAATGGGATAGTTATTCCACCATCTACGGGAAGCCATGAGATGAGACCTTTCGAGTATTTTCCATAGTTGCCTCTAAGACATCCGTTGGACGAAGTGTGGTGATAGATTCTTATATGCCACCACCACTCGGAAAACGTTAACTAAAGGAACGGGAAGTTATTGAAAACTAGGACCTTATCCATCGTTCAAAGTATGTACGCGTTGCGTTTTTTTTGCTTTTTGTAGTTAAATCCTCAACCCAATAACATAACCACTCATATAAACTTCCAATACCAGTAGAATTTAATGAATTGATGATCGAATTATCATTATTTATAACAAGTTAATCAAGTTAGCAGCCGCCTCTTAGCTACTTTTGTAAAGATTAGCTTATACAAATAAGCTAATTTTTATAACTTAATGCTCCAGACATTATATTCCTTAGAGGAGGCCTATGTTCAGCAGTGGACTTGTGAAGGACTGTAATGATGATGATATTATATAGAACACCTTTATACTACCACCTGGAGAGGTGGCTGCTCTCCGGGCTGAACACCTTGACAATGAAAAATCTTTCCAATTTGTTCCACGGCCAAAATCTTTTTCTGTGGCTTTTTTTTTTATAGGAGAGGGGGCAAACGAGCATGCGGCTCACCTGATGGTAAGTGACTACCGCCGCCCATGAACAACTGCAACACTAGGGGAATCGCAGATGCGTTGCCGGCCTTTTAAAAAGGAGTACGCTCTTTTCTGACAACGCATCTGCATTTTAATTCGTTATCGAAAATAGATATAGATGTCCTATGAGCCACAGCAACCACTTACCATCAGGTGGACTGTGTGTTCGTCTGTCACCCTTATTCTATAAAAAAACGCCGAATCTATATTGCACAGACTGGTGATAAACATCAGCATTACAAGTGCAAAGGCGATGCGCTCCCAACCGCCTGGTCAACGTGGTGACTATGGGCAGTTCTTTGAAATATTGCATGCCTGATGGTGCATTCTTGAAAACAACTATGTTTAGGCAATGGATTAAGAAGGCCTCAGAAAAAGAAGAAGAACATGCAATTTATTTTACCTTTTATCCCATCCCATACACACCTCATTTTTATTTTTGATCGAATAATTATAGATATTTAATACTGTCTTAATTTAGTAGACATTAAAGAGCTTCAAACTGCATAACGTTTGTTTGTCAATCTATTCATCTCATTATTTACTAATATCTGACATACAAATAATAGGTTATCTTAATTGTATTCTTGAACTTATACAAATGGTAATTACAAATTATCCAATATATCTGTCGGTCTTATCATATAATATTCATAGATACGTAAACACTTACGCCTGTCACTCAAAGGTGTAGGTAGAGACTACGGACTTCCATTTGGTACAATCCTGAGATAAATCTCTCACCTTCTCTACAACCATATATGTTCGTCGGTTAAAGGTACTTTAAATCTGGCCCATCTTCAATATATCGCCAATTTGGTCGTTAAATTTTCGTTTAGGGCGAATAAATATACTGTTCTAAATGTACAATATACCAATACAGCCTTTTAAAGACCACTGCTGAATGAACATAGGCCTCCCTCACAGAACGCCTCATATAGGGGGATATTTGCCATTGTGATCATACTTGGCATGCAGCTTGGCAACCATAGTTTATTTTTATTTTTAGTTGTTATTAGGTAGACACTGCTGCCTAGTTCCTGATTTGTATACGTCTATCGCATCTTACGACACCCACGGGATGATATAAAGTAGTCGATATTCTTACACCACCACTGCACGGTTTATACAATATATTATTCATTATATTGTATAATTAGAACAGTATATTTAGGGTTAAAGGCAAGTAAGTGCACACTATATAGTATCTTTTATACGTAGTAGAGCCATGCTGCAGGTATATTATGGTTATAGCACGAATGGGTCGGCTCGACCGGGGAAGGACCACCCTCTCACAGAATACCAGCGTAAAATAGCAGCTTAGCGCTGCTGTGTTTCGTATGGTGAGTGTAGAAAACCGGAGACCCTTTTTACTGGAAACGAGGCATTCCGTCTTAGTCATCAAGGGTGACAACGCATCTGCATTTTCATTCGTAATCGAAGTTAGATGTAGATGTCTATGGGCCACAGCAACCACTTACCATCAAGTGGACTGTGCGCTCGTTTGTCACCCTTATTCTATATAAAAAAAAAACTTCAGTATTGTAGTACCTTCAATAGTTGAGTATAATTTTTAGAGTTTAAAATCATTTGAGCTCTCTTTAATCGTTTTTTAGTTCAATTCTAGGGTTAATCGTCTCTAAAATGGCATGATTGTAAGATAAATTTGATAAATTGTGGAATTCTGAAACGCCATACAAAACTGGCAATGAATTAAAAGTCCAGGCAAATGAATTTGTTCTAATAGAGTTTTAAGCATTTATTGAAAATCGTAACGTATTTCTATCATTGAAGTAATGTATCGTTGTTCATTTTTAAAATAAGAACAAGTAACTTCATTTCTAAATACGAATGAAGTTATTTTTGATACATAGGTTTTTGTAAAAAAAGGCCCGTAGTAAAAGAAAAATGTTTCGAAGACATGTGAAATCCGCCAACACGCATTGGAACAGCGACACGGCCTCTTGGCTGTCCCAAAAACCTCACAGAATTAAAGGAATCCCGTATTCAACCAGGAGACGTATAATAAGGCTCCTACTTAAAATTAGCTGTGGTAGCTCAGCTCAGTAAATTTCACAGTACGCGAGCAACCCGGCTTCGAGTCCCGCCGGCACCAATGAAATTGTTAATTGCAATTTTAAGTGCTGATTTACCACGTGCTCGACGGTGAAGGAAAACATGGTGAGGAAACAAGCATGTCTTAGATATAAAAAAAAAATTTCGAAGATATGTGAAGTTCGCCAACACGTGTTGGGGCAGTGCGGCGGACATTTCCTTGCCCTAAAACCCTCTCAGAAATGAGGGGAGTCCTGTGCCCAGTGGGACGTATATAGGCTGTAACTTTAACTTAAAATGAAACTTTTCTCTACAAGACAATATTGGATACCGGTTTAAGGACCGCTCCATTCCTTCAAAAATATTAGTATCAATAAAAAGCGCTCAAAGAATTTTGTAATAAATATTATAAGATTTTTTTAACAATATCGATGCATTTATGTATCTAGCAATAAAACACGTGCGTGCTAACCAAGACCGTTATGTCAAGGGGTGTAAGGATGGAGTGATTACATTTTCTCAAAATTTTAACCTCACCTGCACACGTGCACAGCATGCCCGCCTGTAAAAGCCAATATCTGTACATTATGTGTCCCCGATATAAGGGCCTTTATCAATACGGTGTGTAGAAGTGAAAACGTTTCCTCACTCCCCGCAATTGTCAAGCGAATTAGAACCAAAATGGGGGAAATTTTAGAAAAAATAACGTACAGCTACGCCCATCCTCAAAGATGCCTGGTCAGCACTCAGTGGGCACTGGCTGGGGTGGCGGCAAGGACTCAAAGTGTTCGATTTCTTTTTACATAAATGTTAAAACTAATTTGTACAAATCTTTTCTCAAAATGGCATAATAAATAGTAAGCTCATTTAATATAAGTTTTACATGGTTTCGTTATGGAATCTTTACAAGTTTCAAATTAACACAAAATTTATCCGTATGTTGAAGTTTTACGAAATTGTTTTATTTTTAGATTCACAGAGGTCCAATAAAGTTAAAAGGTTTGCATCGTCGCCTTAGGGACAAATTTTCTAATAGTCAAAGCTATTACGAATCATCTTATGGTAACTGATTTATATTATTTATAATGTTAGTTATGTTTATGACGCAGTTGCATTTTCTTTGCGATATATTTATATATAATTTAAATATTTGGTTTTAGGGGTGGCCTACTTTAACCTACTGTCACTCATATTACTTAAAATGTGCTTTCGTGTTTTTAAATACGATTCAATTATTTGTTTTGAATTGTATCATTACAATTATTACTTTTGCCTCATAATAAAGGTGCTGACTCAAAACAGGCTGGTATGACTGTTATTGAAGAGTACAGGACAATGTCTATGTATTATATTTAACACCTGTTGACGTTGTCTCATATTTGTATGCATGCCAGTTGGCACATTCTTTGAAAGACCAATATTATCTAGTAGTAGACTTAAAAAAAGACTATTGATGAGATACGATTCATTATATTTTAACCGATACTTATTCTTTGTTTATGTTTTATAGTGTATGTACTCGTAATATTTAAAAATTAAAAATTTTGTACTGCCGACTTCAATATGAGTTATTAAGAATAACTTAAAAAACTATTGGTCTGACTTTGATCAAATTCATATGGGACTACACGAGAAGTACCAGCTTTCGAATAAAAAAGAATCTTCAAGTAAAAAGTTATGAGGAAACACACATAAAAAAAACATACAGTCGAATTGAGTACCGTCTCCTTTTTGAAAGTCGGCAGAAAAACGCAAGATAACTTTTTATTGATGCCAATATTTTGATTAAATGACAACCATGTCAAATTTAGTTTATATATCATGCGTCTGTATCATTCATCATTACATACAGCCTTTCAAAAGTTCACTGCTGAACATAAGTCTCCTCATAATTTGCCTCATAAGGGAATATTTACCATAGTTGCCACCTTGAAAATCGGGTTGGCAATGTTCTTGAGTTGTTATTAGGTAGATGCTGCTGCCTATCTGCTGTTCATTTCCTTATGTCGCCTTACGACGTCCAACGGATGATTAGTAGTGGATTCTCTTACGCCGACACTGCACGGCAACAAATTAGTTGAACTAAAAGTATTATTATGTACCGACAGTGTATATAAACGACAAATCACTACTTACTTAACAACGGGAAGCGGCTGGTCGAGTGTTTGCCCAGTGGCGTACTGATAGTACTGATATCGCTTTGTGAGCTGTGTAAACTGCTTTTGCCGCTGCCATTAGCGGAACCCAGCTCCATTCGCATGCGCATGTGACGGCTGAAAATAAATAAATTAATAATTAAAACCCTAATATTCCTAAAAGAACTTTATTTTTTATTTTTTAAAAAAACGTAACATCTGCACTTCTCCTGTGTCGCGAGGGCTGTTTACAAACATAAGTTGTACAAGGACAAACATCCAGACCCGAAATATACATAGCCCATACAAATACTTGTTTGGTGCGGGATTCGATAGCGCTGCCACTCAATTGCTAAGCTACTGCGCCACGGAGCCGGCAATATAATTAAGATTTAGGCATAATGATGAAAAACTTAGAAAGCACGAGTTAGTTACCTTTTTGGTTTCGTGTTCATATTAGTAGATTTAGAGCTTAGCATTCTAGTCACGCTGCACGCAGTCTGTGAGCGTTGTAATGAAAACGTGCAGTCTACTTTCGACTTAATATCCTTAAAAGATTTCGTTTTATAATCACTCTTTATTTCAATCGAAGACTTCTTTAGAAAACTTTCGCGCCTCTCGGTCTTTTTTGCCAATTTTGGACTATTTTGTACACTAGGTTCTGCATCTGTCTTTCTACTCGCCAACATTGTCTTTAGTTTACTAGGTACATCACGCTTAGGCATTTTATATTTCTTTAATGTAAAACTTCGTTTTTCTTCTTTATTTTTCTCAGTTGTTCTTACATCTTTTTCGCTGTTAAGGGAGTTTCTTTTACTGGTATTTTTAGGAGTAACGTCATCATCAAGTACATGCGATACATCAGAGTTTTGCTCTTCTAAGGTATCTTCTAATGGTGTGAAATACGTATTTAGTTTATTTGAGCTCAAATTTTTCTGACTACAATCAGAACGGGGTGACGGTGTTAAATCAGGAGACATATCTTTAATCACGTTCAAAAATACAGGAGAAGCACGATGATTTTCAAAATCTGTATATACTCCACTTGAATCCATGCAAGAATCTTCACTCCTTGTTACAATTAAAGGAGCATTTGTATTACCATTTTTGCCACCATAAAGAGCTCCATCTATAACTTGAGCTTTGCGGTCGCCTTTTTGCATATGTTCATCTAAACCATCAGCATCGCTTTCAGTGAAAAAATCAGAATCAGTCATAGGATCAACTCTCCTTGTTACGGGAACATTTTGCCAGTCCATATCTAAGACATCTTCACGAGGACCCATTGGATGATCTGCACTTCTACTAACTGGTCTTGACATTTCACCGTCACCTTGATAACCATCCAAACTAGTAATACTAGTTATGCTTGTTATAAAACTATTTGAAACCTTTGATGTTTCCATTGATTTTGTGTAATCAGTTTTACTATCTGAGAAAGTTTGTGAATCATGCAACGTTGATGCCGAAAATTGAGAATACGTACTGATTTCACCATTTGCTTCAGAATTATCGAGTGGTAAATCTTCTGGAGACGGTGTTTGTTCTATTCGATTAGGGACATTACGAAGCCCCATTTTGATATCTAAAGGTATATCCAAGTTAACCGTTGTATCTGCAATAGAACTTGCAGGTTCTAAAATACTACTGTGAATTGATGGCATGAATTCTTCATCAACTAAATTTTGTGCTAATTCTTGAGACTTGTATAAATCAATCTTCTCCCTATCCGGGCAATTTTCAAGCTCTGTTTTAGAATCTAACAGGATAGAAAAGGTTTTATCGTGTAAGTTAAGAACAGTATTAGTGTCATATTCTAAGTCTTGTTTATTTTGAGCTTCTAACGTCTTAACAGATTCAATTGGGGCTATCGAACTTCCAAAAGAACTTGTTTTTTTATGATTTACACTTTCGAAAGTTTCATTTTGTATTGTCGACGCCGCCGAGTTACTTTCAGTCTTATCCGTTGAAGGTGTATCACCACTATCTGGAGATACTTTATAATCAGTACTATCGCAAAACATTGGTAATCCTTCAACTGTTGGAGAAAACGCATTTTCTAAGTAACATATGTCATCCATTTGATCAGGAGTCAAAATACCTAGACTGTCATCTAGAGAATTCTCTTCATTATTTCTACTTATAGAATTATCGTTCGGACTTAAGTTCGTTTCGTACGGTCGTGGGTGAATATGAGATTTAAGCTGCAAGCATAAGTCAGATCTAGAGTGAGTGCTAAATGTTTTTTTAACTGGAATGGTAACTTCTTTTTCACAGGAATATTCGAACTCTTTCAAGGGCTTGTCATCAAAATTGAGAACGTTCGGTAGCCTGTCTATGCTTTTGTTAGCAGGGTTTGTCATATTTTTTAAACTTTGTGGTTTATTGTCACCTGTTATTTCATTATGAGATTTCCAAGTCTCTGCATGCATTACCCCTTTAGATGTAGTAGGATCAGTTTGCAGGTCAAATAATAGACTATACGGTCCTGATTCATGACTCTCGTTATCTTCGGAAAACTGTTGTGTTATGTCGTTGATAAAACTTTTTGTCTTTTTGTCCATTTTAAGATCTTGCTTTTTTGTGATTTCATTTAATTTTTCTCTCAAATCTAAAATTCTAGGGTTCTGTTCAACAACTTTTTCTAAGTTAATACTCATTTTAGGTATAAAACTTTGATAGGAGGTGTGATATATTTTATCAGCTACGTCATGCTTTGATGTACTTTCTGCGTTTTGTATTCTTTTACGAATATCTATTGATTTTAATTCACTAGAACGTAAACTCTTGATTAATGAATAATCTTTGAAACATACTCCATTAATATTTAAAGATCTAGACTTGACACTTCTATCGACGGGAATCTGAAACAAAAGAAAATATTTTATATATTAATGAGTTTATGTCGCAACTATAACTATATCCTCAGTGTTCGAATCTAAATTTAAAGCCTGGTTGATGCATACGCGTGTATTTATGTGTGAAGGCTACTGTTCATTTGGAGATCCGAAAAAAGGACAACTTTTCTACCTAGAAGTTCGTTTAGGTAGATATCATCCTCTTACCTATTTCTGCCCTTAAATAGCAGTACTTGAACTATTGTGTTCCGGTCTGAAGGATATATATAACGTGGAAACGTAGCAAATCAAATTTAAAACGAATTGTTGACAATATTGTTGGTTATTTCGTGGTTGGATCGAAATTGATTGTTCGCTATGGGGCTACTTATCCATTGAGCTACCACGGCTCTCCTTGCGTTACTAATATTGGAAACTGACTGAACTGAACTCCTAATTTTTAAATATGAAATTTGTTAATAACTTTACTACAGGAGCATCTATTGGATCTTAGCACAAATAAATTGTGTGAATATGACTTCAATCGGTCCAGTCATTCAAAAGTTACACAATCTCTAACAGACGCACCAACAATTATTTAAAAAAAAATGATAAAGGAAGAATTATTTGTCATAGTTGCCACGCTTGGTAAGCAAATTGGCATCCGCAGGTTCTTATTACTTTAAGTTACCGTCAGGAAGATGCTGTCCATCTCCTTGCTAATTTCCCTCTGTCGCCTCTTACGATACCCACGGGATACATATGGGATAGTGAATTCTCTTACCACTACGCAGCGAGAATTACTGTTTACCATAGGCCTTAAAGCAATCTTTGAGGGGGGGTTGTGTTCAGCAGTGAACTTTTGAAAGTATAATAAATTAATGAATAAAATGAATGAATGAATGAATAATAGATTTAGTTTAACCGACAGATTTCACGGCTTACTGTTTATTTTTAAAAGAAATCCTCCAAATATTTATATGCTACTCGGCTCAAATTAGCTGCTTCTTAAAAAGACGTGGTAAACACTAATATCGCCACCATACCAATGCGTGTTGGCGGACTTCACATGTCTTCGAAATATTTTTTTCTTATTTCTCAGACACGTAGGTTTTCTCAAGATGTTTTCTTTCACCACCGAGCACATGGTCAATCACTTAAAATTGCAATTAACAATTTAATTGGTGCCGGTGGTAATCGAATCGAAATGTACAGTGAGCGCTTAGTCTCAGCTACCACGGCTCTTTCTGAAAAATCTATATTTAAGTCATCCATACAGTTGTTGGGTTTAATTAAGATAAAATTACATATAAGTATTATTATTATGTGTGTGTTGTTTATGGCATTAAAATTAGGCCCATAGTAATAAAGCTACAAACCGCGTAAATTACCAACTTATTCGACTTAATGCGCGAAATCGTGGACACAGCTAGTATCATATAAGAATATAAGAAAAACGACTGCCGTAATACGAATTAATTTTTACAATTCTACTAGTACTTAATACGTTAGAAAATTTATACATTATTCCTGACCTCTAACATATAATATTTACGTGAATATTCATGCAAAGGTCCCCCTCTAATATGTTTGTTCATCATGGTTCAGAGAGCCGTCACGCGAGGTGAATCTAATGCACACAATTGTACTTGGTGTGTCTGTTGTGGAAACTTTTATACGATGTATAATCGACCCTTCATCCTTTCTAAATATAATGCTGTCTACTTAAACGCTCCTATCATTTATTTTGGTCGTTAGTAATGGTATATTTATATTTATAAAGTTAGACTACATGTATAAAAGTATTTATTTTTGTTTCTTACTTTAAAAAACGTTAAACAAGGTGTTTTTCAAATTGCACATGGATAAGCAAAACGTCCCGGAACAATTTTTTGTAGGTCATTCCGTACAGAAATCGAACTGGTGGCCCGCAATGCCGCAGCTAAACGCTTGCCCGCTACTCTATCATACCATTATTTATAACAATCATTGATCGATCATTCATTATACTGTATTAAAAGTCGACTCTTCCATAAATTGCCTCATAAGAGTGACATTTGCCACAGTTCCCATATTTGGTAGGTGTATTGACAACCGGCGTATTAATATTTTGAGCTTTTGTTAGTAAATGCTGCTGCTTATATCCTTTTTCAGTTTTTTTTTTTATAGGATAAGGGTGACAAACGAGCACACAGCCGCACGATGGATATACCGCCATCTCTCGAAAGCCATGATATCTTGCTGGCATTTCCAATAATTGCCTCTTACCTTATAGTTAACTGATATACTATTAAGAAATTATTCTTGATATCAATGACAAATAAAATAAATTAAATTATATTGTGTTATGTACACAGAGCCGTGGTACCTCAAGAGCCGTGGTAGCTCGCTAGCAATTTTAAGTGCTCATTTATCACGCGCTCGGCGGTAAAGGAAAACATCGTTGGGAAACCTGCATGTCTGAGAAATAAGAAAAAATATATTTCCAAGACATGTGCAGTCTTATTCCAAAAAAATGTTTTAGTACTGGGTTAAGTTTAGGAGTAAGAAGTCCAGGTTTGTTACAATATTCTAGTTAATACCAGCACTAAAACGTGTGCTTATTACAAAACGCAGACTACCCGAGGACCAGTTAATACCAACGTTAATATTATATTAAATATCATTCACAGATAAAAAACAAAAAATGACACTCTATCATTCGTTCATACAGGTTTCATTCAATGCAACGTTCGGTTTCATAAAATATTAATATTATTTTCACACTTAATTATGCTTAAATAATTATCCATCAATACAAAAACATATCATACATTGTTATTTGTTTACGTTAAAATCTATTGAACAAGCACGACATATACTTTTGACGCGCTTTTGATTATATCAAGTTGTTTTCAGTTTAACAACTCTAGCGTGAAACGTAGTGAATTACAGAGGTAACGCGAGCGCGGGATTCGAGACGTTCAAAATAGTTTATATTGCAGCCTTATAATAAGTAAATTAAATTATTAATAATTAATTAAGTACTTGCTATTACAGTTATATTTATATAATAATGGAACAAAAGAAAAAACGGGGTGAAAATTGGAGTTCTGAAGAAAAAGTTAGTGAAATATCGAAATTTATTTGTCAGTACGTACCAATACTCTTATCCTCCTATTATCCTTATTTCAACTAAAAGGAATGTTCTTATTATTATAGGAAATATTACGTTCACTTATTTCACAATCAGCACATATAATAGAGAATAAGTCGACAAAAACATCGGTATATATTCAAAAAATAAAAGAGTGGAAGAATATAACTAATAAGTAAGTACTTATCGCATTTGTTATGTGTACAAATAGGTACGGTATTGTTTACGTGATTTCGTATTTTTTTTTTAGATTTAATGAGATAACAGGTAAACGCCGATCAGATGGTGAATTGAAATTATCTTGGAAAAGAATGAAGTTGTGTGCTAAATCAAACTTATACACATATAGGAGGGAACAATCAAAGACCGGGGGTGGCGGAAAACCTCCATCACCTTCTCTTGAGGACTTGGAAATAATGTCCATTGCCCCTCACGACTTTATCGTTGAAGTTAATAATTATGATAGTGATGCAGTGGTAAATAAAATTACTTACATGTCTTACAAATTTAATTAAAATTAAAGAACTTTATTTTCCATTACTTTAGTACCTAGGTAGTGCTCTGAAATCTACTCTTAAAGCATACAATTTACAATCCAAAATTATTTTCCGAATATTCAAAATTTAATATACTTAGTAACAATTTAACATAAATTTCTTTATAATTAATTATATTCAAAATTGAAATGTCACAAATTAATATATAGTGGTCTACATAATATCATAACACACATGTTACTAGATTATCTACACAGTCCGATTATAATTTTCTATTTTTGTCTATTAGGTATTATAATTAATAATTTATTAAATTACCTTTTGTCTTGGATCATAATAATATTTCTACAACATAGAAAATACCTGATTCAATAAAGGGCAAAATAGAGGTGACAGGTGACAGGAAAACATGTTAATAAATGTTTTAACGATTTATTTTAGGATCCAGTGGCTGTGGCTACAACATCAAAAGAAGTTGCTGACCCTAAGCCTCGCCTTAATTTTGAAAAAACAGACACAGCTATAGTTAAAAATGTAGAAAATCCAGAACCCAATGTTGTATATGTGCAAGGTAAATAATACTGATTGAATATTTATTAAAAATATATTATTATTATAGTTACAATCATAGGCATACAAGTTTGTAAATATTATAAATGTTAATTTTCTAAAACTGTTATATTTATATTAATTTTTAGAGATAGATCCAACTACAGATACAGAAGAAAGTGCCAAAATGGTGAAAATAACCAACAATAAAGATATTATTACTAGGGGTATAACAAAAATTAAAAACAGGAAACTTAGCTTGCAAAATAGGTATGTTGAAAAAATTACATAGTCTGATACATTACATACTTTTTAAAATGTGAAAATTAGTATTTAAACACTGAAAATTGTTTCATGTTTTCAAATATTAAAAGCAAAGTTTAATATGAATTGATTTAAAAATAATTAAAAAATATTTCTTTAATTGGTGTACAAGGTTAAGTGCACTTTTATTACTCTAGAATACTTTGTAAATGTCTAAAATAACTACAAAACTTACATTAAGTATTCCATTTCATTTTACAGAAGAGAAGATGTACACCAAACAATTGTAAAAAGTAACACAGATTTTAAAAAAAGACAACTGGAAATGATGGAAGAGGAACATAAATACAATATTAAAATAGCTAACCTAAAAATTA